GGTCGTCGATGTCAGATTCGGTTGATTATGGTTAATCTTCCTAATTAGATTAAGCTTTCCTTTAATCGTACGGCTTAAGAGTTGATTAAGCTCTATTCGGTTTGTCAATACGTTTGCTTTTCGTTTGGATAGTTTTGGTATGCTTCCAGTTTATTTGGACGTCTTTGTTTTATGTTAATTAGTGTTGGATGTGGCTTTTTAGTATATGAGCGCCTTTTGCGCTACTAATTTCTTTTACTACGGCGGGCTAGACCGTGTCTTTCTTCTATGGAATGGTTTATTATTTATACAGAGGTGGATAAGGCCTCTGAGGTACTACTTGATTATTACTATGCCTGTCTTAGGCTTCGTTAGATGATACTAACTGTGTTGGGCGTCTAATTTACTATTTTACTTTTATGTTTATGTGTTAGAAGGATTATAGGTTTTACTAATTGTTTGCACAAATGGTTTATATCTAATAAATTTTTGATAATTTATTTATTAATATACTATTTAATATGTGAAGTACAGGTATGTATTTATTAAGGGTGTTAGTTCTACTAAGTCCTTGTTGTGTTTTTAGATGGATATTTGCTCAGTTAAGTTCTTGGTTTAAGTTTTCTAACGTCCTCGATTATTTATAATATTTGTATAATATGATTATATACAATATGTTGAGCACTATTGTTTGTTGGTATTGTTCATAATACCATTATGCTTTATGTATTGTCAGAGATTACTAAGTGAATAGGTCTCTTTGATACATTGTTTGGTGTCAGATAGTTAACCTTTGTGTTAAGGTCTATTTGAGTTAAAGCTTTCGATGAGCGCTTTTGGTGTTTGCTTTAGTAAAGCTTGGGCGTTATGTTTATTATAACGTTGTTGGGCGCTTTAATACTTGTTTGAGCGTTGTTATGTTTTTTCTTTTGGACGTTTATGAGCTTTGATTACTTGTATAGTAGAAGAGTAAACTACTATTATTCTTGTGAGTGCAAGTTAATGCCTCAGGTAAGTTTAATAATTCTGAGTGTTGGGCGCTGTTTCTTTCTTGAGCGTTATATTTATTTTTATCAATGCTTGGGCGTTTATATTTTATAAGGCCGTTGGTCGCTTTGATGTTCTAGTATACCATCAGGGTGTTGAGCTTATTTGTTTAAGCTGTTATATGAGAGTTGTTATGGACGTTGTTATTTGAGCTTGAATTTGTTTGAGACTATACTATTGTATGTCTATATTATTTTTGAGTCTAATATTTTGAGGATTTAGGGGATCTATCTAAATCGCTAATGTTTCAAAGGTCAAAAGCTATTGTATTTATACATTCAAGAAGACTATGCTATAAAGATTACTAACTAATGTTTACTAATGCTAGATTTGTAAGCTATGACTAATGGCTATTACTAATGATATGATTAATAAGCTATAAAGATATTTATAAGCGAAGATTTATAATCAAAGATTGTTAATATAATATGATGAGAATTCGATTGATAATCAGTAGCCAATTTTGGCAATTATAGGATTTTCAAGATTTGCCGATTTGGGTAATCGCAAGTGTGACGCATACTACGTGTGACGGGCGTGATCGGAGAGAGTGCCGGGCGAGATAACATGTACGCCGGACGCTTTGCTATAGCCGATTTATTTATGAAAATTTGCCGAAATTTTCAGATTTCCGTGTGATGGGCGATCATTTGATGGACACAGTAATTTGAAAAGCGCAGTAATTCGTGAAACCAGTGAAAAAACAGTAAACTGTGGGGAAATTTTTTGCCTTTTTTAGAATCTAGAGTTTCAAAGGATAAACTGATTTTTACTAAGCAACCCTCTATTCAACTTCTAACAAAAGTTGTAGAGGAGAGAATTTCGAGCATAATGGAAGTTGAAGCGTTAAAATTGGCTTAGTGGATCGTGAGATATGGGACATTTTTGTCTTCGCGGCTTCTTTGTGAACAAAGTAAACATATAGTCGCGAAGACAAATATGCCCATATCTCACGATCCACTGGGCCGTTTCGACTACCATTATGCTCGAAATTCTCTCCTCTACAACGTTTGTTAAAAGTTGAAGAGAGGCTTGCTTATTAAAAAATCGGATTATCCTTCGGGAAACTCTAGATTCCAAAAAAGGCAAAATTTACATAGTAAACATATCCCCAAAGTTTATTATGTTTTTTCACTGGTTCTCTGGCGGATCACGAATTAACGAAAATAAGTACATCTGACACAACCAAGAAAATTTTTACAAAGTTTTTGTTCGGTACTTTTAACGATGTTAACAGTCCGGTCTGATTCAGTCTGGTCAATTTTGGTCCAAGTCTAGTCTGGTCTATTATGGTCTTCGGTCTTAAGACTTTGCTAGTCTAGACCGGTCCAGTCTTAAGACTTAGAGCAGACCAATTTTTTTAGCTCAGACCCGTCTTTAGACTAACTGTGGTCTATTAGTCTAAGACCGGACCACATAACATCCCTAGGTACTTTATTCTCAAGAGATCAAATTTTGCCGAGACCTACGTTCACAAGCTTGTAATTTTAAAATATACCCAACTCTTTCGAAATTCCTTAACTATATTCTGGGCCGCAATTTTCACATTTGTTTAAAAACAATTGATACGAACATTTGAAATGTTTCAGGTTCACTTTTATTGCAATACTGAAAAAAATAATATGCTACTGCAAATTGTTAATTAATAGATTTGTATTCGTCCACCGATCACAGCAATTTGAAAAACACCATAAATTAACGCATTTATAATCTAACGTGTCATAATGTTAGAGTTTACTTTATAAGTCTGTACATATACTTGTGGAAGTTCTAAATGCACTTTTCATAAATACACGCAAACATGATTATCTCATCAAAACTTTTTAATAAAATATATATTGCGTAATAACAAAATTAATCATATGAACCCTCTGCATCAATAATATTCTTATTCTTTCTTATATATTCTTCACAGCATTTGTTAAGTTGATTCGCATTATAATCGTGACTAAATTTTCTTATTTTCTTCACATTACTTATATTTATGATGTTTTTTAGCATGATATTGTTTTGAATTATATTATTTAAAGGACTAAATTTATGTGATACTTTCAAAAGCTCAAGCATAAATTCCAGATATTGTTGCCCAGAATCTGGAAAGCTTTCATAGAAAACATTTTTAACAGCATCTTCATATGACATTCCATAAAGCCATCTTAAGAGTACTTCATAAGTTTCGTGTTTAACTCCATCAATCGTAATATCATCTATGGGTTCCTCTGAAAAATGCCAATCGAAATATTTTGCAAAATCTGAAAAAAAAATCAGAATTATTAGAATAAAAAGAAAACAATAAAATTTAATCAAAATTATTATTAATTACATACTTGATAGAACACAACGATTTGCACGAATATTGTGATCCTCAATCCTGAATATAATATCATAATATGAGTTCTGATTCTGCAGACATTCGATCAAATATTTAATTAAATGGTCTTTTTGTGAATAATTAATTGGTATCTCGTCCATTTTAACACTATTGTCGACTTCTTTTGCGCCTAAAGCTATTAGTAGTCTTTTAAATGGTAATAAACGATCATTCACATCAAATCGATCATTTATATTATTTTGAAGACCAAATACGAGCTTTTTGCCAGGAATCCAGCAATTAGGATCAAAAGGATTATCACCATTTAGGAAAAGCTTAATATCTTTTAGTTTAAATTCTCTAATTTTATATTCATCCAAAAGGTTTAAATTATCATCTACAACTTGATAAATTTTTTTCATAATTTCATGTATTCTATCGTCTTTCCAACCTGATGTTTCGAAAGGAAAAACTTCAGTAGACAGTTTAATCCAATGATTAATGACCATTTTAAGGCCTGGACGGAGATCGAAGGGCAGTTCAATGTCAGAATAAATAAATTTTGCTTGTGTCCAACATATATCTCTATACTTTGCAAAACATAACGAATTAAACGATTCGTATTCTGAAGTAGAGACTGCTGTCTTATTGTAAGGACTCTGGAGATCTTTTTTAGAGGGAACAAAATCTATTTCGTAAAGTTGTTTCCGTTCATTTTCACTAAAGCTATTATAATTTTTGCTCAGACAACTTATCAAATTTATTGAGAGTGACCTGATCTCGTCATTATTAAAACGGTTCAATAGATTTTTTAAATAGCCTTTTTTTTGACCATTAATTTTCTTTTGAATTTCATGAGCACATTCGAGATATACGCTTCCATTCAAGTCTCGTTTAAGTCCCATTTCCGATAAAGCGGATCGACAAACACTACTATCTTGTAATTCAAGTGGAAGCAATTTATCATCATCAAATATTTGATTAAATAAACCCACTTCCGCATCATATAGAGTACTGGCCTTTACAAATGATTTGAGACTCCTATTAGGAATTGCTTCACGACTCGCAAGATAACTCTCAATTCGTTTATCTTTAAGTGATAGGATTTCTTTAAGGAACTCTACATCCTGTTGCGTTGGCGGTTCACCTGATTCATGAGGATAATATTTCCTGACAAAATCATATACTTCAATCTTTTTTTCTATATCAAGTAAAATAAGCACATCATAATATTCATCTTGCACATCAAAGATGTCAGAATCTTGTGAGGGACATGGAAGATTATGTGGCGGTAATATTCCCTTATCATTTGCAGAAATGAATCTATGATGTTTTATTGGTGGTCGAATTGGCCAAATTGGAAGTTCTCGAATGATATTTAAATTTTTTTCATAGTTACTTGATTTTGACTGTGTTTTGGTTTCACTATGTCCTTGAATGGTTATAAAAATTTGTTTTAAGAGAATAAAAATAAGAATCGTACAAAATAAAAAAGGATATTAGCAAACCTTTGACATTAACATTGATAAAGCTTTTAATATATTCTCTAAGTTTCTCGTAATCGGCATCATCCAACTTTGCATCACTAAAAAACGTTCCTATAGAAATATCTTGTGATGCTTGCTTTATAGATTTGAAAACGTTAGAATAATTAAAGGCTTGTACACTCCGCTTCAGACATCTGTTGGGGAATTTTATGTCTGTGAAATAAATTCCCAATTTTGTAAGAACTTCTACTATAAAGGCCGTAGGGTCATTATCATTCGGATTGATTAATAAAGAATTTGTCGAGTTTATTTTAACAAGTTTGTGACTCGGTCGAATAACAGGGATCAATGGACAATTAGGTAACCTTAAAGTTTCAGATCCTGCGCCTAATTTCATGATTTCAAATACATTATCAAGCCACTGTCGATTGGGAATTGATTCTGAAGAAGGATTCCATTCCATCTCCTGTTTATTTGAGAGTTCCTCATCCGGAAGATCAAGAGCATTTTGGAGTTCCTCATCCAGAAGATCAAGAACGCCTTGGGTATTAAGTCTTTTAATGCGAAGATTAGAAAGGTGCTCATTCTTAAAAATTTCAATAAGTTCATCATCAGAGTCGTCAATAAAATGAGAAGGACCAGACTTCGGGAATAACTCTTGACAGTCTTTTTCTGCTATATAATAGTCACGTTTTCCAAAAGTGCCTAAAGTACCATTTTTTAAAGGCACAAATCGCAACCCGTTTAATTTCAAAAATAAATTATCATTCTTTTCTTGCAAAATGAATTTTAATAACTTTATAATACTAATAAAATCATTTTGTCCCTGTTCAATGGAACTCAGAATATTATTATATTCTCGTTCTTGTAATATTTTAGAAATTTTCATAGGCCGATATTTAGACTTTTTTCCTTTTATTTTGTCTTTTAGGTAACTGAGTTTGTCTATATCCATCTTTACAGTTGGAATACCATGGCTGGAAAGAATATTAGCAATAATATGATCCTTCTCCTCAGAGAAATATGCATTTTTTAATGACACAAATTTGCCATCATCAGCTTCAGTCCAAAATATTTCACAATCACCAAGACCTTGTAGTACTTTTGTCCTATATGAATCAATTAACTCATCTTCTATTTCTTTTACATTACCAAGAAGTAAGAAGTTTTTGGTTGTGTGTGGAAAAAAGGTTTCAAGAGCGGTTTTAGAATTCTTGAATCGTTCTAAATCTTTTTTAGCAATTTCATTTAACAATTTAACATGCAAAGGTGGGAGTACTTCAAGTAAAATATGTCGTTTCCATTTTCCATAGATATAATCGTTATTCTTTGATTGTGAAATATCTTTTTTATCTTTCTTATTTATAGATTGATAAAAATCGCCATTTATATGCACTCCTAAATTTACTGAACGTTCACTTGAGACATGTACATATTCCTTTCCATCAAGAATGGGTGGATCTATTAACTGTATGAAAAAAAAATAAAAATAAAAATAAAATAAAATAAAAATTAGAAGACGAAAAATATTCATGCCAACATAAAATAGCCATATTACACAATTACTTTTAAAAGATCGTCTTCATTATCTGACCGTGAAAGAATAGCAGCGACACCACCATAAGCCTGAGATATATTATATGAATCAGTAATGATTGTATTATGCAATAATTCTAAATGACGAAAGCAAAAATAAAGAAAATGTACCTTAAGTCCTTCGTTTTTTGAAAAATTTACCAAATTATTATCCATATTTTTTTCAGAATTTCCACCCGTGCATACAAGCCATATCTCGAAAGTTTTCTTTTTTGTGTCATATATTCTTGTATTAAGCTGAAAAACTTGCGGTGTGTACTCAATTTTTCTGCGAATATCCCTATAATTATCTTTTAAATTTTGAATTTTCATTTCCCAAATCAATTGTTTATCTCCATTCTTGTCTATGTGATATACGTCGTATAATTCGATGTTTCTCAAGAAAAGAAGTTCCTGGTGATTTTTTTTGCTCCGAAAATGGTCTAAAATTTCTTGTGATTTTGTTGAATTCTGCGACTCTGCATTTCTAAGTGGCAGTTTAAACAAAGTGCCATTAAATTCTTTATTAAAGTCACAATCCTCTATATCCAAATATGGTTTACATTGATCTTCGAATTTGGCTAAAAAATTATTCTCAAGAAAATTAAACTTGATTTTTCGAGGTCGTTTTGGAGGATAACCTTGCAATGGAAGAAACATTGCATGAGGATCATGGAAATCAAGGAACGTTACATTTTCTCCGCTCACGAAAGATAAAATATCGGTTAAATAACCAGCACGACCTATATTGTTTTTATGATCAGAAAAATCATTAAACTTCTTATCGTAGTAAATCCAAACATTCGGGCCTTGACAATTATGCATTTCTTTAGACAAGATAGTGGGTTTTTCGGGATTTTTATCTAATATCCTCTCGTCAAGATAGATGGAAAATCTTCGAGTCCCTGCATCATCAGCGTTCTAGCAATAAATAAGAATTATTAATGTAGCCTTATGTATATTTGCATATAAGTTTTGTTCAACCAATACCTTGAGAAACTCTTTAAACAAAGTATCAAGCGAACATCCCTATTAATTGTTAAAAAATTGTAACAATTGTAAATATGCGAATTTTAAGATAAAATATTATAAACCATTCTGATAGTTACAGTAATATTTTTTATTCTGATTTGTTCAGAAGTTTCAAATTCAGTCTCGCTGCATTTTAAAAATATGGTGGAGAGCATCTGAATTCCAAGGCTTTCTGCAAGCTCAAGTGTTATTTCCTGATGCGAGAGTCTGTAATTCTTCTTCTCTATTTTGTTAAGTTCAGGCCTATCATCAAAATAAACTTCCTCATGCTTGAGAAGAGTAGAATCGACACTTGGAATAAGTAAGTCTTTCAAATCACATATTTGCCCTTTCTTCTTAGGATTAGTGTATTCATCCGCAAAATGCTTAAGAAGTTTAATTACTTTGGATAATTGCTCTTTAGTTAGTGAATTATGATTTGCTTCACGATCAATTTCTTCGACTATTCTAATCAGATCATTAATCTCAATTCTTTTATGAACTCCCATATACTTAAATACTTTATTAAACCTATTTCGATAATCATCTGGCAATTGAACAATATCCCTTCCAAAATTCTCTGAAAGTTCAAAGAATACATTTTTTGCTGCATAAAAATTACCCCCACAAAAGATCCAATTTTCGTTTTTCAATCCTCTATTTAATTCTGACTTATACTGTTCGTCGTTACATGACAAAACCTCACTAATATGTTTATAAACTGCTTCACAAATTTGAGATTGATTTTTAAAATTTAGATCACTTTTAGACATTATGTAGCATTGGTGCATTTGTTCAAGAACCAACTCTGCAGGAGGATATACATCCCATCCCAAAAAATTGCGAAGCGTAAGGTTTTCAACTTGATAGTCGAGAAATGGAACGACCAATGATACTAAATTTTTATCTTTTTTATCGCGGCATCCATTCTCAAACAAACAAGAAAATACCTTATTGCCAGTTTTATTAACGGTTGGAATCCATTGCAAAGATTTAACAGTTGACAAAACTTCAGTATTATTATTCATGACCTCAAATGAATTCCAATATTTATCAATATATCTAAACAAGTTAAGTGATTTGTTATGTAAATCATCAAGGTCGATGTTATTTCCCTCTCTAAGTTTGACATAAGTTTCAATGCGATTAACGATATCCATTTGTGTAAGTGAGGTCTTAATTCCCAGTTCTTTTAAAATGTGGTAGTGCTGATTACATGCATTAGAGAACTTACCAACAGGAAAAACTTTTTCGTCATCGAAAAATAATTGAGCAATTTCCTGGTTGGTTGGATCAAATAGATCAGCAGGCTTACATTTGATCGTGTCAAGATCAAGATATCCTTGGGCCATTTGAATTGTCCCGCCAGGCATGAAATCAATATCTCTGAGTTTGTCCTTGAGGGAATGGTCTGAACTAGGAAGGGATGGTAATTGTTCAAAAAGCTTTTCGACAATCACAATATCGATATTTGGTTGGGATTTCAAGTATGGTATCACACAATCATCCCAATACTCTTTCAGTTTCAAATGTCGAATCTTGATGACATCTTCTAATAAATAACGTGTAGCCGTTGAAGTCGCATCAAGAAACCTGTGTGTCTCTGATGATTCGATTATCTGATCATAACAATTTTCGTATTCCTGTGGTAAAAGATATAAATGCTCTTCATATAACTCCAAATCAATCATCTCATTTCGACCGATCTCTTTATAGATTGGTAAGCGCTTTATGACCTTAATACACGTAGGATCTTTAGAATAAGGATAAGTATCATGTAAAGAATATAAGTATTTTATAAATAAATCTGCTTCAGATGAGTCCAAATTGCATGTTCCATTTGGGTTCAATGATGATAAAACTGATTTAATCACAAATATAATTAAGGAGCCTATGCATATAAGTTAGTGTAAAAACCATGAATATATCATACTCATTATTAAAGACAGATAAATAATCAGCACCCACCTTTTCCATGAAGTTAAACCATTTTCAAATTTCACATTTATGAAAACTATGCCTAGTTTTTTTAGAATAGGACATATTTGAGATTTGGATCCGTTTAAAAAAGATTTTACTTTGAGTTTTCTAAGAGTATTGTTATTTGTTGGAATAATGTGAATATCTTCGAAAAGAGCCAAATTAGTATCACTATCGCATAAATACTTCCAGAGTTGAATAATCCACTCGAGAGGCTTCTTCATCTCAATTTCGATATTGTTAGAATATCGATATGACAGAGAATTTTTAACCAAATCAGCAATGATCTGTTCATTTAACATTTTAATATTAAAAATCCGCTTTTTTCCTAGCTTGATCAAACAGTTCGATAAATTAGGTGGGATATCTTTAGCAATAAGCTGGCCTGAATATTCATTTAAAATCTCACGCAGAGCATTTTCATTTTTATCGTCTGGAAATAAATAACTATCGTTTCTTAATTCATTTAATTCATTGAACTTTCCGTTGGCCAATGGAATCATTTCTAAGCCTTTCAGCATTCTATAATTTTCATCATCCTCATCGATTAATAACGATATATAATTGAATAATTTCAAGATCTCTTCATTTGTCAATTTATCCTGCAATTTTCCTTTATATTTATGAAGAAATTTGCTAACGCATATTGGAGAGGAAAATCTTATCTCCTTCTTGAATTTTAATTCTTTTATAATTTCAACAATTTCGTTAGGAGCATAGATAACTCTAAATCCGATCTTGTCCAATATACTTTGTATATCAGATCCGTCAGGTTCGGATGATTCATCTTTAAAATATCCTTTTGAGATCGATAACATCTCTCTAGATCCGTAGAAAACCTCATCATTTGCATCAAGCTTATGTATCACATTCCTTAGAAGGTCTCTAAAGAAGCTGGATGTAAAAATTTTTGTTTTGATCGGAATCGGCCAAAATTCGTAATAATCATCTTGAGACACACTTTGAGGCACATTTTTTATCGTTATATACGATTTGAGAAATTTCACCCAAGCATGTGATAAAACCTATAAAAGTTTGTAATATGAATTTGTTTATAACCAACAGTAATTGCTGATAAATTAAATACCTCTTCGAAAAGATACTTATTCCATTTAGCTTTAAAATTAGCCGAAGAATTTTCAGTCTAAAACAAAATAAATATTTTTATCAATACTATTGTAGTTACCAAAATAATAGATATATAATTAGTAATTACCGAATCATTGTTATCATTAGAACATAATGTACCGCGATTATTAATAACCTATTTATAATTAAATAATTAATTTTTTGTCAAGCACAGATTTTAATAGTTTATAAAATTCGCTTACCGCAAATTGTCCATGTATGAAAACACGAAACGGTGTTTTTATTGGAAGAGGTAAAAAATTAAATATTTTACCCGGGAATTCATCAATATTCTGGTCTGAATTTAATTTGGCAGCTAGCCCTACATGTGGTACAGTTTTGAAGTTATCAGAAAACTCTGGAAAACGATTGCTCATATCATGTAAATCACCAAGCATATTCATAATAAGCCAGGAATCTTCTGTGATGACCCCTTTTTCATCTCGACTAAATGATGCCTGATATGCCTGATAATATGGTGAATTTGTTGCATTTTGATTAAGTTTCTTTGTCTTAAAATTCTTTATTTTCGAGATAATTTCCTTTGCAATAATCTGCCGTTTTTCGCGTACATCTTCGGCGTTTTTAATTGAAATCTCGTAGAGTAATTCGAGTTTATTTTTCAATTCGTAAAACTTGATATATTTAATGTGTTTAAGAAAAAGTAAACAATTATCATTTTTATTTTCAAAGAACTTTTTGAACAATTCTAGAACGTCATCTGGTTTATATGATTTTGTTGAAATTTCAGAGATTTCAGAATCTTGACTTGTACGCAAAGGATATCGAAAGATTGTTCCCAAAAACGGTTCATTACATGGAATTTCGGACTTTTTAAAGGGAGAAAATTGGTCTTCATATATTTGAGCCAAATTATCATTGACAAAATTATATCTCATACCACCCTCATAACACCACTCATGAGGATCAAGAATGGTAAATTTATCACGCGTAATAAATGAACAACTATCACATAGATGATAAATTGAATTAAATCCGATACCCTTTTCTCCAATTTTATCATGTTGGCCTTGTTTTTCGCTATTAGCTAAATTCCTCAACGATGTAAAATCTTTCTCTTCAAATATGGTATCATTTTGTGATAATAGTGCGGGCCCTTGAAACCTTCCAAGCTTAGATTCAAGAAGGCTCTTACTAGGATATGTATTATGATCAAGTATAAATATTTGTTCTGTACTTTGGGCATCATCCGAATTCTGTAGAATTTCATAGAAGATCTGTAAAGTGTCAGGATAATCTTCGAGAATTGTCTTTAAGCGGTGAGTATATCGTTCGCGCGGTCTGTACGTTTCTCCTCTTGGTATTATCATTTTACCATACTATATCATGTCCTTAAGCAAATGGCTGATTCTCCTTACGCACACATACGTACTTAACGTTAAAATACGTAACGTAACGGTAACCATATCGATATATCCATTTTAATTTACTAATTTTGTAAACCATTTCGTTGTAACACCAACATGATTTAAGTTTTGTCATTGCTTCCATAAAAGGAATTTTCATCCTTTTTTGGATTCTGCCACCAAAAAATGATAGCCCACCAAATTTCTTTTTAAATACGTGCCGCCAAGGCTTCGAGCTTTTACTTATCAGAATTTTTTAGTGATTGTTATAAATTGAAGACATAGTCTAGACATATCGCGTTCCAACTTTAATTGTAGTAATTATGTAAACATTTTATTAGATCATCTGTGTGACATTCAAATAAGCATATGAGTGCTGCCAAGGGAAAAAGGCCATTCTGGCTTTCAATTATATTTTGTGTACAGTTAGCTGTCTATGGAAAATTTATCATCATATATATTTTCCATAGACGGCTAGCTGTATACAAAATATAATTGAAAGTCTGAACAACCTTTTTCCCTTGGCAGCACTCATATTTAGAAATCTCTGTTTCACCGAAAAGAAAACTACGACTAATTGAAATTCAATAATTATAGAAATGAAAAAGAATCAATCCACAGAAAATACTCGGTTAATTCTTTCTTGGGAAAAAGAGATAGTAGCTTCTTTATCAATTATCCAAAATCATACAGAGCAAAAAACGACTCCAGTGCAGATTAAAAATATGAAATTTGTAGATAAATATGATGACTTTGATGAGAATTCTAGTGGAGAATACGACAATGATGAGGAATATTATTATAATAATCCTAGGAAAGAATTCGAAGATGATGAGGAATATTATTATGATAATCCTAGGGAAGAATATGATGATGATGATGAGTATCAATCCTGTGATGAGTCAAACGATTTTTCTTTGGAATTGAATGATTTTCCTCCTCTTCTGCAGACACAAGAAAAATCACTATCTGGAAAAGTGGAAGATAATACTTCTTTCCTAAAGCCATATAGGGATACTATCCAATCTGAAAAAGTTTTAATAAAAAATAATCCCTTATTTAATCAACAAAAAATCTCGACTCAATTCCAATTGATATCAAAATTCTTAAATATAAAGAACTTGCCGTCAAAAATAGAAAGAGGACTGATAATTTTTGTAATTATTCTAAATTTAATTCAACTCGAAAAATACCCAGTATATGGGTATTGGGAATGTAGAAAATGTAATAATGGCCATCGTTGGATAGAAAAATGTGGTTTTCTACAAAAGGTTTTTAATATAAAAACTCTGAATGACTTGGAAGATCTGAGAGATAGTTCTGATAAACTCTGTCAATTTTGCAATAAAAAAAACCAGTATTTTAAGTTTTCGTTTATATGTGGAAAAGCCATCTGAAAATTCAAAGATAAAGCCTATTATTGAGATTATATGTCACCTACAATGGAATAAATATTACCGAGTGTTTGGTGGATGGGAATGTCAGAATTGTAAAGAAAAAGTCTGGAAAAGTGCTTATACTTATATATCACTTCGCAAATTTATTGAAGGACGGGATTTGAATGAGGGTGATTATATTATGCAGGAGTGCAAAAGATGTAAAGACAACAACGATAAGTGTATTGTCACATCTTATGAGCCTTTAAAGCAGGGAGAAGACTACAATATTCACAAGAGACATTTGTGTGAAAAGTGTAAAAGCGGTAATTATTGTACCACTATTGACTCTTATCTGGGTAATGGAGATATGAAGAAAACTAAAATTTATTAACATACATGTTGTATTTGTTTTTCTTTCGCTAATCTTGCTGATTTTTTAAGTGCTAATTCTTCTAAATCTATATAATCAAAACCCATTTGAAATCTAATATTTATTTATTATTAAAATATATCTATTTGAGCATATATTAATGGATTGGATTTACCCGTACTAGATTTAGTACATTGTACTAGATTTAGTATATTGAATAGTCTAGTTATCTATTAATATTAAATAATAATTATATTTTTAAATAATTTTAAAAAATTCTTCAAATAGT